TTAACTGCAATTTATCTACATTCATAACTTCATCACATGTTGATTCATCAACAGTGGAGAACACTCACTCACCCCAGGATCGCAACTCTTTGTCTTCTTTTGCCTCTCATGGTCATTGGTGCAATTGGGATGGGGGGGGTTCTCTGCTAGTTCAGCAGGTCGATGTAGCCAGGGGTTCTCAGCTAGCTCAACAATTCAACATAGCCAGGGTCCATAGGTGTGGGCACTGTCTTGTAGCCACTGTCTTGGTAGCTCATGTCCATCACTGTAGGCCAGAGTTCTTGGCTCTGAAAAAGAGTCTTTAGGTCTTCAGCTCTGAGAAGAGCTCTTAAGTCTTCGGCTCTGAAAAGAGCCTTTGGGTCTTCAGTGTTCAGCTCAGTGTTCTCGGTTGAAGTGGAGTTTCAGGTTGAGCTCTTTGGGGTATAAATACCCTTAGCTTAAATACTAGATACTACATAATATTCAACCAATGACATTCAACTTTGAGTTTTCAACCAAATATATTAGTCCCAAAGCAACATAGGTTTGACCAATCATGTTCTATCCTTGGCAACATGGCATTAGCCAATCATATCTCCTTATGCAGGGTCTGCACCTGTTGTGATCAGGGGACTCTAGGCCTCTAAGAGGCCTAATTGGACATATTAACTCTTCAGTACATTTTCAAAATAGTCTTAACATAATTCCTAACAGTGAATTCTTAATATATTTCTTATTTTAATTCTCACATAATACTCAGCAAGTTCTTAAAATATTTCCTACCTTAATTCTTAATATATATCTGATTCCCAATATATTTCTTACTCTTAAATTTAAAAGTTACACTCTCTTGGTAACATGAGCAGTAACAAGTTACATTCCCTTATCAGGATTCACACAGTAGCTTTACAGGCAAGTTATTATCAGTTATATTCCCATATCAAGGGTTTGCACCTCCTGTGGTCAGTGGGACTCTAGGCCTCAAAGAAGACCATTTTGGCATGTTACACTGTTAGTATATTTTTTCATAAATATTCTTGTTTCTATACTTATGCATCAAATTCATTATAATATTTTTCCACAGCAAAATACAATTTAAGATATCTCATAATATGTTACAGCAAAATTAATATCTTTTTCTTATATTTAAGCTGCTCATAACAGGTTACCCATGGTGGACAGTGTTTGGTGGCGCTCCCCTGCTGAAACAAGCTTGGAAGCATGAGTGACATCCACTTCCATAAATAGCTTGCCTCCAGAAACCCTATGGACCTGGAGAAAGGATGAAAGTCATGCACGTAAGTGTCGAGGACTTTTGTTCACAGGGTCACTATGAGTCACCTATGACTTGGCAGCACTTAACAACAACAACAACAACAACAACAATGTTCATTGCAAACTATGAAGAGGTTCCAGAGTCTCCAGGCATCCTCCTATTGCCACAATAAGCAGCACTTAACCTTGTGAAACCCAGACCACAAAAGATCCTCACAACTCAGGCATTCCCAGGTGCCGAGGAATTCCTCAGCAGAGCAAGGGAGTGAGGTCAAAGCATGGAAAGCTAGCCCTGGGGAGAGTAGTGAAGCCATTCCTTAGGACAGGCCTCCTCTGCTAGGGAGAGCAGTTGGCTACATGCAGAGGGCACTACCCAGACTCTTTTAACCTGGGAAAAGCTCTGATGTACTGTGAGTGCCTGACCCAGGACAACTTCCTCCTCTGAGTGTGGCTGCCACAAAATCCACCTCCAAATCTACCTCAGCTTCCAATGTGAAAGGTGTCCTGCATTATGAAGGGGGCATGAAGTTCCAGTATAATAGCCACAGGGGTCCTAACCTCAGGGAAAAGAGAAGGTTTACTTACTTCTCATCTCTGAAGCATCTTACCTGGACCAAATGTTACAACACCAGAATCAGGGTCACTGTCTTCTAGGCTGATTCATTAAATTGATTGTTCAATCTGAACCTTCAGAGAGTTCTCAGGATCTTTTATTGCAGGGCAAAGCAAGACAGGACATATTGCCTGTACTATTGTTGTTGTGTGCCACTAAGCTGGAATCGAGCCCATTCTAGTTCTCCAGCAGGTTTTCCAGAGGCTATAAATCTCATCAGAGGGGAGTGCCCATCCTCCTCTTGAGAGCAGCTGGTGGATCGGAACCTCCTGCCTTTGGGATTGCAGGCCTTATGCAGTCATCTTGACCACCCCCACAGCTATTAAGTTCATGAGTGACCCCCATTGACACCATCTTTCTCACATCAAACATTCCCCTCATTGAGCAAATTTCCTACACTCTAGGTGCCAACACCCAAGTGCAAGTCTCCAATGACATTCTCCAAGCTAAGCAGACGATAATAAAACAAGTCTCTGGAGAGTCACAAACTATGCAGGCACCTTACTACCAACCTTTCCCATTGTTTCCTGTGTGCCTCTTTACAACGACCTTTGCTTGCAGAAGTACCAATCAATTTCTCTAGACCATATTCCACCAAAACACCTCAAGCCATTCCATCAGCCCAAACTGAGTATGCCACCATTCCAGGACACATTCCCTTCTGAAAACCAAAGCCTGATAAACAGTCTAAGCCCTCTTGCATCTAGCACCCTCTGCAATAGAACATGACAGGCCTTCTCCCAAATTAACTCAAAACCCCATTTATAGCTTAAATCCTTCCTTCTCTAAGACCAATAGTAATCACAAGTATATTGCTATTAATCATTCTATGTCTCTTTAAGTTCTTACTTCACAGGATCAAGGAAATGACCAACTTAATTCTCCCCTGGCCACTAATCCCAGACTGACTAACTCCAGCCTCTAAACCCCCAGGTCTTCGCCCCTGTTCAGCAGAAAGTAGCCAAAAGAAAGATAAGAATGAAGCATTCAGGACTCAAATGCTGATGGCCTAGTCTGCTGCTCATAAAAAGAGCAAATGGCCTTGCCTGTCTGGCTGAGCTAGCAGGTGACTCGTAAATCAGAGTGGAATGTCCCTCCCTAAAAACCCTGTTTATAAAAATCCTCCCAGGTGAGTTCACAGTGTGACTTCCCATTCTGCATGTCCAGGATGAGGAACTCACCTAGGGGCTCCCCCCACTTCCTTTAATAAAACTGCAATAAGCTTTCTCTCACTCTCTCTAATTTCTTCCTTAAGTCTGCTAACTTATTAAGTATTAGGACAATTTACCTCAAAATCCAGATTGGTATGGCTTACACAGCAATGGGAGAAGTCAGTCTATTTTGAGAACAGGAGTTGAAGTATACAGAAAACAAGAGGAATGAAGGCTGAGTTAGGCCAGTATAGAGGGAATACAAACAGTGTCTTTTTTTTTAATTATTATATGTTTCTTTTAAAAAATTTATTAATTTCAGTAAA